TCCTCACGCTGTTGCATATAGGTCNAAAAAAAAAAAAAAAAAAAAAAAAAAAAAAAAAAAAGAAACAGCAAAAGAGAGAGCGAGAGAGTGTGACATGTGCAAGAGCTACTTACTACTCCCACAGGGATCGGCGAACTTTCGCAGGTGCAAAAAACCAGATCGAGAGCGCGACGCACAATACATCTATATACACGCGTACACCGAACGATTATGCGGGTTATACCTCCTATGCTGTCTCTCTCTTTTTCTTTCTTTTTTCCACGTATATATTTCATCCCATGTACAGGTTTTTTCATGCATGCACGTCCACATGCAAGTATCACACGTTTAAATGGAATTGGCAAGGATGCGCAAAGTTTAAATAGAAGAGTCGTGGGTACGGTATGCCACATACAATTGTTGCGTGGATGTTTATAGTTACGGGGGACGTTGCAATACTTTATGGGCAACGACTACCGGTACATGTGCGGGCTCTGCGGTAGCCCGACAAGGACAGTCGATTACGCGCGGATTGTTTATTTGTGGCTTTTGCAGATTGTTACTCTTCCCTGGAAGATTGGGTAATCCGCTTGGATTCGGGACGTACTTATTTTGGAAGAGAAACAGAATTTGAATGCGGCTGCGATTGCACGGAGGTTGGGGCTTTTGCAATAGACCTGCTTGGGGGTGTGGTAAGGAGGAATCGGTGGAAAATTTTCGCTGGTTCTTTACAGACAGTTGATGGAGGTTTTGATGAGATTTGGTTTTTGATTTCCTTCGGCTCACTGTCATTTTTGGTCGAATAATAAAGTATTGAGCTTTACCGTTCGAGAAGTTGATTGATGATGTCAGAACCAAGAAAAAGTTGTAAATAAAACCTTGTAAACAGTGCTCTGCTGCTTAGTTTTTTATCCCTGATTGTTCGTCTCCATATTTATAAGTATCGGTATTTATGCTTTGTCTTTCTTTCTTCATCAATAAAACTTGGCATTCATTAATACAATTTTGTATGTAAGTTCTAATTTTTACTGTTTTGACAGACTATTTTGTTCTAACTTATCTGAGAAATTTCCTGTACTTGTTCACGTAATTGGCCGTAGTTTTGTGTAACAATAATCGTACGAATTTTATTGCAATCCATTAGTATTCCAGCATTCAGTTTATCCTTCAACATATTAGCCAGAGCAACGAACTTCGAGTCATAAAATGCACAAGTGGCTTTGGCAAATATACAAAATCGTGATCATTTAATTCCACGTAACTTTTTTAAATCTAATCAACGAAATTAATTTGATTAAAATCGTGACGATACGTTATCAACAAAACAAACAAAAAACGCGTAAGAGCGTACCCTCTGATTTTATCACATTTTTCAATAATTTTGGCTCACATTATATGAGGGTCAAATAAGTCATTCAGTCGTAATCATACACTTTTTTACATCATACATTTCACTTTTTTATTTTTGGCTAATATCTGGGTGTTCGTACTGTATGATGTTAAAAAAAGCGCTTCCTTTTCATCAACACGTATTAAAAGAGCACGAAAACTAATAATAATAATAATAATAATGTACATGAATTTCCAAGCAGTAACTCGTTCTGGGAGTTTTGTTTAGATCCTGCAAATCTATAGATATGCGTATGTGCATTTTTTCAAACTCCTTTCTCCCCCGATTAACCAGTGTGGGCCACTTGGGCGACTTTCCTCGATGGAATCTCAAGTGTTGTACGTGTCTATACTATGTGTTTGAGGTTCGATGACTTTATACCTCTGCTATCTGCTGTACGATACTTTCACGCGATAAATGTGCTTTCGAAAAAAAAAAAAAAATTGAGTGAAGATTAAATGATTCGAACTTAAAATTATTTTTAATTTTTCTGTATACAATAGTTCCAAACTTAAACCGTGCCCCGTTTGCATTGTATTTGTGTAAAAAAATAAAAAAATTACCAAACAAAACGGTAAATAGTATGTATTATATATTTTTACTTATTCTTTTTGTTGAACAAAGTCCCAGAACTGATTCGTCCACATCACTTCTTTCATCCCCACTAATTGAACGAGGTTTTATTAAATAAAAAAAAAATAAGTTAAAGGATTTTGGATTGCAAAAAAAAATGAAACAAAACACGCGTCACCATTTTGATATCCATGCAAATGCCGGAACCAAACTTGCAATCGAATTCAATCGGAAAAAAAATCGGGAAATTGCGGGTCCAACTTCGTTTCCTGCACAGTTTGATGGAACAGATCTTAACAGAATCATTAATTAAAAAAAAAAATGTAGCTTCGGAGTAAATCGACAAAGCCACTGTTGCCCGACGTTGTACAGAACACGAAGACACAGATATACGCTACATGCTACAGCTCCAGAGCTGCGCCACGTGCTCCACTGGCGAGATGAATATTATATAATATACACATGCAAATAAAGGCACAGGATGATACGAAGGAAGAAATAAAAGGAGACCAGCACCATGACTCTGTGGCGTATAGTACAATATATACACGCGATACTAGAGCACGTACATGCGTGCATACAATTTTTTTTTTCTCTCTCCTTGTATTCTCCGTGCATGCAGGTGTGTACGGTACACGGGCTAACTTTTCCGCATCGCTAGCACAGGTGCAATTTTGAAATTCAAGGCGTTTGCATAATTTGCCAACGGGGCAGGAGGGGGCGAAGGGGGTAGGAAGGATAGGTCGGTTCAATGCGCTTGCGTGGGCATTGTGATACCTGTATTGTGTCCAAATAAAATGAGCTGATTGACTTTTTATTGGGCACTTTTAACTATAAATTGGTATACCCTTTGAACTAGCGTAAGTAATGGAATGAAGACGAAAATCGGTACAAAGAATTTTTCCTACAGCCACTGCCTTGGCATTGTTGTAATCAACTTGTATATTGGTGGTGCCTGCAGATGTGCGGGTGGAATTTGAATGTTATTCACTCGCTCGGTGCGCACACGCGAGCACCCGACTTCACGCACACCATCACCCACACCCACACACGTGTGCTTTAAAAAAAAAAAAAAAACGAGGTCCCAGCGCGTAATACGCGAGATAAGAATTGTTTCGTTCCTCGTGTACATAATCCACACTGCAAACATGAAAACGTTATATACGTAAAATATACTCGCACGCAACACGTTCGTCTTTTCGTGATAACAGAGCTTTACACTTGCAGATACATGAATACGTATATAATGTATTCATACACACGCGGATCAATTGGCCTTTCGGAGTTATATCAGCGGGCGTTGTGTCCACGTCAGAGGGAGAGAGGGGGGGGAAGGGGAAATTATACGTAATTTACTCGAATTGCCGCTGGTACGTATATGTAGGAATTGCGATAAGCCAAAGCACGAACAGTGTGGTGATGCTGTTGCTATGAAAATTGCTTTGAAAATTCTGAATGCGATTTTATTTTAGTCTTTGCACGAATTTCTGGTAAAAGTATTCCCTACGTCAAAGTTGTACAAATTTTACACTTACGTCATCAATGAACAGCAAACGGTGGGGTTCCTTATATAGTAGAAACAATAATACGAATACGATTGCGAGGAAAAGCTTTTCACGATTATAATGCTCTACGTATTTACGTGCATGCATCTCGTGAAACAAATATACCTTTGGACGAGCTTGAATCACATTGCTGTCGTTACTATTGTCCAATGAAAACAACGTTTTTAAGAAACGCACAAATTCAATCATTCAATATCCCAAACGCGACACATGTCGGCTATACACTTCACTCCAGTGGCTAATAAATCATACCAGAATGACATCGACAACAATAAACGACATTTCAAAATTGTCCTCAAATCAACAAACAACCCTCGAATCTTTTCACACTCACCCATCAGCAGCTCGGTTCACTCATGGAAAATCCCCGCCCGGCCACAACATCCCTCTGTCATGAACTCCTTGATCTCACTTTAATAAATCATCCACTCCTTGGAATGAAAAAAAAAAAAAAAAAAAAAAAAAAAACACCAACTCATTCCCAAGCCCCAAGCTACTCAACCGGGAATACCCAAAAGCTCGCGAATCAACAAACCAACTCGAGAAGAGATACCAAAATCCCCGCATCGCCTATCACCCGCCCGTATATGTATCTACGCCCAATCAACCCCATCGACCCCTAGTCAAAGCATCTTCGAAGCTCTGGATCCTTCATTCGACACATCTTTTGCAAGCACAGCCACAAAATTGCTGCATACATATAGAGATAGCGCAAACACGCACCAAAATCCAGTAGTACTACGAGTATGGCGTCAGACCCGGTAAGAGCCACACATCAGGCACACGTCCCCCGTGCGTACAACAGCGAACCTCCGTAACTTTGGAGCCGCTGTAAATCCGGGCCATCGTGAATACAGGGGGCGGCCGGCTACTTCTGGCTCTTCATCGCGTATAATAGAGGCAAGGTGCGGGGCAGGGGGGGGGGAGGGGTGCCGCGTTATCGAGCGGCTTCGTCAACATGTGTCAGTTGTCGCCCCCGTTTTCGAGGCCGATATATCCTTGCGCGCGCCTACGTCATCGGAGAAGGAAAGAGAGAGAGAGAGTGATAGAGAGAGGGAAGTGTATAAGGAGGGTGTTGAGCATGCGACGAGGGATTCACGGGGGAATGGGTAATCAACGAGGGGATAAGGAATAGTCGCGGGGGTGCGGCTCCACCAGGAGATATGAGGGACGGGAAAAAAAAAGAAACATGGAGTCTGGAGCAGCGGCACTGGCTATAGGCCGGGGTGGTTGTCGAGCGGTGCAGAAAGCGGGTGGTTGTTGTAGGTGCGACCCTTCGCTCGGACGGGTAACAGCGGCCAAGCTATCTCCCAAGGGAGCACGGGGTGGGTGCAAGCTCCGGACGTAGCGAACGGGCCGAGGAACAGAGGATGGAACCCTACCCGTCGGGGTGGTATGAACGAACAAGGAGGTGGTTGACAATATGTGAGGTGGAGCACGATGATGATGATGATGATGATGATGAAGAAGAAGAAGCAATGGGAAAAACTCACGCCGCGATGCTCTTTGACAGTGGCCATCGCTCCATGTTGGCCTGGTACTTCATGTTCTCGATCTGCCTCCTCAGTGCGTCCTTGTCCATGTTGGCGAGTACACTGGGATCCATGGTTACAGCCGCACCCCCCTGAGCGTCCGGCTCTCTCTTTGTCTCGCTCCCTCGCTTTCTCCCTCGGTCGGGCACACAGGCAACAACCACCCGTGTGTGCTCGTCTCTCCTGTCCTATTCGTGTGTGTACGATGACTTGTCTCACACACGTGTACCCCCTCGCCGAACGCTCCGCTCGTCTCTCTCTCTCTGTGTGTGTGTGGGTGGGTGTGCGCGCCTCCGGCTTTCGTGGGTGGTTGTGCGCGCGCGTACCGCTCTATGGAGCCGCCTCGGCCGCCGGTCCGTCGGTCTCGCGTGGCGCAAGCGCTCCTGCCGTGCGAGTGTATGTATTATATACTCCCTTCCTTCCGATTTGCTCGTTGCTTCTGTGACAAACAAAATCAATATCTTTCAAAGTACATACATCCCATCACGCTACACGGGCTGCTTCGCGCTTCGAAAATTCTATGGTTTGGCTACCACGATATAGTTGGTGCACGGGGGAGGGGTGTGGTGTATATATGCATGGTTGTTGCACGAGCGAGCTTGCGACCTGCTCTACCGACCGCCTTTGTAGGTCGCGTGTATTGCAGTTGTTACAAAGTATAGGCGGACCGGTACTTATACGCGAAACACTCATCAACATAATATACTTATGGCACAAGTAATACGCGGAATGCGACCACACTATAGGTTAATTATTATTCATGCCGATATTTGTGAGCTATATGGCTGTAGAATACGAGGGATGGGCCCCTTATATTCCAGAGAGCTTTGGTCAAAGTGTTGATTTGTGCTGATCAAAGTTTGCAAAATGATTAATAATATGGGTGTACGTTTGTGCAGAGAATGTGCTTGCAAGCTCACGAGTTATAGGGATTATTAGTAGGTAGGGGGTGCGAGTCTGTATAGACGGGTGAGCTTGCGGGCTTTCTTGCGTTTTGCCGCTTTTGCCGGTGCACCTAGTGTTGGGGTCGTATAAGCGCTGTTTTCGAACTTGCAACTGTGGTTCCTTTCTGCTTTGTCTATCTTTCTTTTGCGTAATGGAAAATTTTTTGTGCACGAAAATCTGCCAACACTTTAATTTCCAAGATATCTGACTGATCTTTTTTTTTTTTTTTTTTTAATTACCTAATCTATACGATAATCATTTACCTAATCTTTGAAAAATGCAAAGAATTGCTGCACGATAATGGTACATGACCACAAACTTTTATTTTTTCACATATCATAAGCAACATCAAGGTCTTCCAAAGTAGGTTATTTGTGTTCTCAATTACTAATTTAATCTTATTATTAGTACTCGAAAAAATAGCCACCTTAAACTAGAACATTGCAATGAAAACCTGAAATTTTTATCCAATAGAGTTTCAATGTAACCTAAATAGCAGCGTATAACCTATAGTAAAAAGATTTTACTTATAAATAAAATTCAAAATCCCTCCAGCCTAAGCTCCTTAACCCTGTACAGACCTCATACCTAAGCCTTTAACCCAATAGCTTCTAATCTCAAACGAATCTCAAAACTTAATAATAAGCTTTATAAATAATCCACTTGACCTACCCTTGAATTTCCTTAATCTAAAATTTTCAACCCCAAAGCACCAAACTTTAATTTTAAATATCGTAGCCCCCTCCTCAGAGTTTGATAGCTTCTCTTTGTATGGGAGCTTTTGACTTTGAGTTTTGAAGTTTTTGGATTGACAAGCCTAAATTTAGAAAGTTATTGAGTTAAAAATGTAGGTAAAATAAGATTTTGAGCGTACAAATTAAATTTATCGTGGCTAGAGGCCTTTTATTGATCGCTTGAAGATAGTTCGAGAAGGGCCCATTGGGTAAAAGGGTTGAAGTTGAAGGGCTACGAATATCGTAATTTTATACCAAGTAACTATGCTTTTGCTATGTTCGTGAGCTAAAATTTTTGACTTTGCAGTGTGTTTTTTAGGGCTTCTGAAAATTAAATACTTGGAAAATTAAGCTCGTTATCTGAAAAGTCTCGTTTATCAAGTTTCTACGGTTTGTTGAGGCTAAATTACGGAGTTTTGTGGCAAAATTGTGATGGTTGGCTTTAGTTTTTAAGCTTAATTTATTGCGATTATGGATTTTCATGTGCAAATTTTTTTAGTTTTACGAGGTTAAATTACAAATTTTAGGGAAAGTCACAGTGACTTGATGTAATCTAGCCCCCTAAAAGTTACTTAAAAACATAATTATTCAGACATCTTAAAAATGTTAATACCGCAAATTTTTCCCCACGTGAAGTTATTTATGCTCGCTATACGAGGGTGCCAGACGTACTTGTAAAGATCAAAGTCAACCGTGTACTTTGAAGTGCGTCCAGCCAAACATGCGCCCTGTTACCTGAGAATGAAATAAGAAGGGGGGGAGTCTAACGTGTACACAAAGTTCAAAGCGCAGCTCTGCATTAATTCCACCCCGCGTATTTTTACGCTACTTAACATAAATTTCCCTAACTCGAGGCACTTGACGAAACCAGGCGCTTAGGTGTATCTCTTCGCGTTAGCTGTAATAGATCGTTGCGCACATTCGATTGGCAATGATATCGAAAGGAGATATATGTAAGTAAGAAGATGCTCAAAAGCAAACTCCAAGGACACCTTGAGGTCGCAATATTAATAAATCAACTTTTAAAATGGGATTTTCTGTCTGCATTTTGTTCTCAACTATTGCAATCCTTTACAAATGGATAGCAGAGAACTAGTCAGCGTTTTATCTTGCAAGCTCACTCGTGTTAAACCTGACAGGGTAGGAGAAATATCTAGTTCTAGACTGCATTTGTGGTACTCGATGGTGTGTGTATTTGGTTTATTAAAAAATAATTTTTAAACATGTAAATATTTATGATAAAAAATATTGGACTACGAATGTAATACTCGTACGTCATGTAACGAAGAGGGATACTGATGGAAATGTGTTTCATTGACGCGTTATGTAAATTCACAGTTAAAACTGCATTACTTTCTAATCATGGATCGATGTATGCATACGTAAGGATTAATACGTGTATTGAAAAAAATTATTGTGAGTTGAAACACTTATCTGAAAATAATGGTAATAAAATTATGTGGAAATCCACTTTAGCAAGTCCATCCTTGTTCTCATCAAAAATAGATCCCCAAATTAATGTTAATCATCCTATATGATATGAATTTTTATAATTTATTACAATCGAATTTTTCCCAACTAACAAATCAGTTTTAAAAAGTTTTCAATTGATTAGAAATACACGTCAAAGAAGCAATGCAAGCTATACACAGTAGAGTGTATGTATACATATCTTGCCATGGATACATTATACGTCTATCGAGGTCATATACTTCGTAAGCAGTGGTTTATAATTAAACATCGATTCTATAATGAAATAATCAATCTTAAGTGTAACTCGCATAATCCAACGGAGACCTGCTCTAATTAGTTCACATTGGCCGGAGAAACGTCATCGCCTTGATAAAATGTTATTCAATGATTCACCGTGACTAAGAACCCCAATTAAATTTGTAAAAAAAAAAACCAAAAACAAAACCATTAAATGTGCCGTCTGTAAAATTTTTTAAATAACCGTTAAAAAAAGCACCAACTGATAAATCTTTCGTAGTTACCTTGTCTCGACGGCGCTACCCCGGAAAAAGTCCCGGACTGGCGCGCGATCGCGATGGGCTCCTCCGCTACTCCTTTAAACTCCTTTTTTTTTGTTGCTCAAGTAAAGCTTTCGAGACTTTTCAGCTTATGAGATCCGTATCCTTGTGGAGTGACGGTTGGCTTGCTAACTTTCGGCTCAAGTACAACACTGGCTGGCTTGGCGCACAACTTACCCTCTCGTAGGTCAAAGTAACTCTGAGGAAACTTGGCTCTTGGAAGGTTTCGCGATTCGTTTATGGAAACCCCGCAGTGCCTCTAAATCTAATTAAGCGCAAAAGAGAGGGACAGGGGGTGAGAAAGAGAGAGAGAAAGACGGAGGTGAGGTGGACTCTTTAGAGCTGTCGATGTGACCATAGACATTGTCATCCATTGCTTTTGAAAAAAATTGTGGCGCACGCGGGCTCAGAAACTAGATCGGCCGAGCGAGATTTCTACGGCATCGGTTTGGTTGTCTCTGTGAGCGAAGGATTTTTTTTCCCCACTGCGTTCATCCGTTCGCCATTTATTATTTGAGACTTCTTTTGTTGCTTGAAACTAATACATGTAGCTCGACTCAATTATGACACAAATATTGATCCAAGAGTATAGTCCTACTTGGACGTTGGACGCTGCGATCAATTTAATAATTGCATCAAGTGGAGATATACTATAACTTTTTCTGAATAAATAGATTGTTCGCAATGTATCTTTATTACATAAATATTGTCTCACAGGGTACCAAAATAATCATATTTCGAAATTATTTTATGCATTAAGGCATCTTTCTGATGTATATATTTTTTTGCAGTACATGTAACTCAATATATGGCTCCTTTTTAATGATTTCAATCCATTAGTTTATATGTAATTTACAACAGTTTGTACGAATTGCATTCTAAGTATAAAAAATATATGAGGTAAAGCAATTATTTAAATAAAGCTTATGGACGACAGTATTATGTACATATATCTACGTGTGCTTTCGCCAAATTATTATGTCGAAATTAATGTACAAGCAAGTAGGTAACATCGTGTTTAAAAAGAAAATCACTCTTTTCTAGTATGCACTGTTCACTAGACAAATATCCGGTCAACTACATTAATCTTCGTTTAACATTGACAGTATAAAAAACTATTAATCATAGTATGATGTTTCTTAATGTATATTCACTGTTGAAATTTTTCCAGAATATCTTATGCTGTAACATTAAAATGTATTTTCTTGCATATAAAAGATTTTACCGTAAAATAAGCCATAATACATCATCTAGTCGTGTATGATCCATTCAAAAAATTTATGTTTGTCTTATCTCGGTAAGTGAATGGGACTTATAACTTAGACCATGTGACGTTTGAAAGAAATGTGACTATCATTTGGGAATATAAAAATTCTAATACTTTTATTTATAGAATTTGTATCAACATCAGCCACGACACTCGTGTGTCTTTCTGCTGTGTAGTTCGACTATAAATTCAGCTTAAAAATTTTTAGCTTTTTTATAAAAATGTATTATTTAAGCAAATAAAATAATTTGTCACATGCATGTTCTAAGTTTTAGTATACTTCATTTATTTTTTAGATATTTGTCTCATCGCGCACTTTACGTTAGAAATCTTAATCTGCCAATTATGCTCGAGCAGAAAATAAGCTTATTATTCTCTGGTAAATTGGAAAACCCTGTAGCCGATCCCCAGTGGTAAGCTACAAATGAATTACAATTAATGTATTATCTATCAAATTTTTGTTTATCACTTGTTATTCGAATTATACCGTGGCTTATATAATTTTAACTTTATTACTAATTTGTATAGAAATTATTATGATTTTTATTCTAATAAGTATACATGTAGAATAGTAAACAATTCGTTTCACTCTTTTTTTTCAAAAAGTATACACATCTTTAAGTCTTGAGATTTAAACAAATTTTTCGGTATTTGTGATTTGCTTTAAAAAAATTTTTTCCAGTGGCAGTGTATATTTTTTTTGTCAAAATTTGTTAAATGTCAAATGATTGTGTACTACAAGTTGAATCATGAAAATATTTGAATTGACAAAATGTGTTACTAATAAAACCATAAATATTTACTCAACGTCAATAAATCAATGGCAAATAAATTGCGATCCAAAATAAAATTCATTTTTGTTCAACATTTATTAAGCAGTTGCAGATACCGTTAGTTAATAATAATTATGGTTCTACTTTGTAAAACACAAAATTATAAAGTGCTGATTGCCTGTTGACTCTTAAAATGATATTAAAAAATTAAAAATAATAAATCATCGAATATAACGGTAATTTAAATTTAAAAATCAGGTCTCGGTGTTAGCCTTACAAATATAAAAGCGAATGATGGTAAAAAAAAGCAGCTGCAATCTTACCAAAACTGATCGCCGTACCCTACCTGGGCTGTTTCTTATACTCTTGCCAAGGAAATGGCTGCTTGCAGAAAAGCGATTCTTCTTATGAATTACGTATACATGCGTGTTATTGTTTTTCAACCCAGACAACCCATTCTCTCAAAAATGGGAAAACTTTTTATTATAATTTTCGTACTATTAGCGTAAGTTTTGCATTACTTTCTAAACATACTTTTCTACTGAAAAAATGTTTATCAAGCCATACAAAATAGAAAATAATAAATTAAAAATCAGATCCACTTGTTAGCGGTTACCCAATCAAAATAAAATACCCGTGTTATCATTCAACAAATAATAACAATATTTTTTATATGTAATTTATATATATATATTTTTTTTAATACCAAATATTATTATAACAATTGCATTTTACAGGATTCGTAAAGATGCAAATAGTAAAAAAACAATCAAATTATATATGTTACAGCCTAATTGACTTGAAACTTAAATATTAGTTCAATGTTTATGTATACATAGAAATACAAAATATAAAATTCTATAATTTACAATGAATCACGGTCCAAAAATTAAACAGCTGTACATATAATATTGTTAACATAGATACATATCTCAACTTTTCATTGATTCATAAGTAAACAAATTTTTTTTTAATTTGTAGTTATTGCTTTTAAGAGTCTCTGCGATATATTTTTTCAATAAATTTGAAAAACAAGTCGTGGGGAAGACCTCGAGAAATCTGTTGGATGTGAGTGTTCAACAGATTGTACGTTTCCTCCTCGTAAATCGAGAATGTCAGCGGTAGTCCCAAGTCCGTGTACAAACGCTTTACTTTGGCCACTTTTTCCAGATCATTAACCCCGTAGCATTCCTAATAAACGTAATAAAAACGTTAGTTGATACAAAAAATTACAAAGAGCCAATGCAACGAACCTCTAAAACCCTCCTCTGTTCGGGTGAGGCACGCTGAAGGGCTACTACGACGAGCCACGAGCATTTGCCTTCCTGAATGTCAGTCCCGTGTTTGCCAGTGACCTCTGGATCCCCGAAACAGTCAAGGTAGTCGTCCTGGACTTGAAAAAAATGTCCCATCTCCAGCAGAATCGTTTTCGCTTGCCTGTGCATCTCCGGATCCTTGATGCCAGCCTGTTTGCAATCGTAAATAAAAAATAAAAACTCTTCTCCAATTATTTAGCACATTGCTACTTTGAAATTTTATCTGTTTCGAAAAATTAAAATATTTGTGTCTCAATAAAATTAAAAAAAAAATTTTTTCAAACAATTTGTATTATTTACATAATTTTTTTTAAATTTATTCTTTTTTAAAACTAACTAAGCTAATTATGTTAGTTTTTGGTTTTAAATTAATATTAAACAGTTTTTTTTTTTTTTTTTTTTTTTTAATTCAGACATTAAAATTATACAAATGGCATCGATCTTTGTAATTTACTTTAAATAATGAAATCTTGACAACACCACATTTTTTCAGTTTTTTTATACAAACAACACAGTTTTTTTATACAAGGAAAAAAAAATCAAACAATGTTATTGAACTTCTGTATTTGTTGTTTATTTTTTAGAGCTTGTAAAAAGTCTCATATCACTTCATGAGAAAGTAAATGAAATAGAAGAATATATATTTTTTAATTAAATGAAACGATTCGAAAATACTCACAAAATACATGGCAAGCTGGACTGGCAGGACAAACGAGTAGAAGGCCGTTTTGTACTTGACGATCGAATTGTACTTGTCCATGGTGAATAGATTCAAGTTAGGTTTTTTGCCAAAGTTCGTGGCCAGCAGATCCAGCGCCTGACCAAACGATGTTTTCATAGCATTCTGAAATAAATATTTAAAAAAAGTTTTGAATCGTCAACTTTTCAACCACTTTGTGCACTGAAGTAATAATACCTCATACACGTTTTAAGTATCATCTTTCAAATACGCTGGATTTTGCACTTAGTAACACTAAACAACGCACCTGCTGGAGAGACTCGACGAGGTCGAGATAACAGGGTTTGTCACTGAAGTGGATGCGGAGCAGCTGGTAAGCCGCGTGCTCAAGCAGGATGCCATCGTTTATGGCAGCAGCACCCAAGTCGTTCTGGCGATACCAGCACGGCTGACCTCTACGTGTCTGCGAATTGTCCATTAAGTCGTCCATCACCAGGAAGTGGGCTTGGAGCTGAGCAGAATCGAAAGTTGGATTTTCGCGATGTCGTTTTCATGGACTGTCTTACGAGCAACGATTTAGAAACTCACCATTTCAACGGACCAGCCGAGTATTCGTGATAGCCGGATATTTTCGTCCGTAAGTTGGTCCAAGGGGGCGAGTTTCCTGTACGCGTAAACCAGCGACAGGCCTCGGTTCTTCTTCCCACTTGGCACGTTGTATTGCAGTACCTGTACGATCGACGGTGGTGTTAAATAATGTTTTGTTTTTATTTTGTGCTGTAGTGACCAGCAAAGGTTTTTTGTAACTTTAATTTTTAATTACATTATCCTTGAGGAAAAGTAGTAATTAAGAAATTACTATATTTTTTTATCTGCTGGTAATAGAGAGTGTGATGAACTACAAAATGATGCAAAATCAAAGATAAGCAAGGTACGCACGTACCTACACATTGATTAGCAAAAAGCTTGCAACATTTAAACTAAAACAAATACAATCATAACTAATTCATAAGTAATCGAATTGATAAAACTCATCTCATTAGAAGCACAATAATTTTCACTTGTGTTAGTTTACGATTCCAAGTTTTCAATTAGTGAATCACTGACTCACGAAAAAAGTGAAATAATTTTGCAATTAAGTATTCGGGTCTGAAATCGTTTCAAGTTTTTGTCATATTTGTACAAAGTATGTGAAAACGCGTGAAAAAACTACGGCAACGTCGTACGATTGAGGTATGAAAAAAAAAAAAAAAGGAAAACAGAAGCTTCAATCGACGTACTTTGGCTAGCCACTTGGTAGCGTCAGGCACGTCGAGGTGTCGTCCAGCATCGGTAAGATCCCTGACGACATCCGGCCAGATGGCCATCATTTCTCGGCTTTCGTCCCTCGTCGTCACCACACCGCTGGTCTGCGCCATTGAGTACACGTTACGCGTGCTTGTTCTACTCAACAAACAATGGTCGCACATTTTTCAGTGGCTCGACAGAAACTGTTTACCAAGTACCTAATATTTTTGAGTAAAAAGTGTAACCCCTTGTAAAAACCATATCTTAAGTATTAATATCATTTGTAATAAAAAATTCGATTGAACTTTGCTTTCTATACAATACCTTCGGGTCCATTGATTGAACTCTAGTTTCTACAATTGTTAAATATAAAAGCCTTGGGTTTAAAAAAAAAAATTTACTGTAAAATGTAGTGAAAATTCACTTTAGTTCGAAAAGTTAGAAAATATGTTGGGAAACAGTTTTTTAATCACTGCAGAAAGAAATCAGCGATTCATAACAAAATATTAAATACAAAAATTGTAGTTTTCATAGAAACACAACTTATTTATGCTATATATTTTTTTAGTGTCATTCTAATGCTCTTAATGATATAAATTATTTCAAAATGACAAAAAATTTATTACTTGACGCTGACTAACTTTTTCGAATGACTTTTAAGAACAAAATCTTGAATCATAAAAAAATAAATTTAAAAGTGTGCCACACATTTGTTTCTAAAATGGTGCAGATTATTTTGAAAAGGCAAAAATCGTCTTATAGTGCCTGTTGTATATATTAATCATAAATTTCATACAAGCCATTAAATTTTGCATAAACGATATGCTGTTGTTGTTTGGAAAAGTGACTTGTTGTATTAATGAACGGGACATGTAGAAAGCCACTATTGTACACTAGGATTTCTTTGAGAGAAGGGATGAGCACGAAAGTCAGAAAAAGCGAGAAAAGATTTTTACATTTGACACGGCGCCATAGAAGTAAAATAATGTACTAACGCGTCATAACTAGAGGCAAAACATCAAGTATACACCTATATGTTGTGAGCTCGCGTCGCATATCTACTTACACAGTTAGAGAGAAATCGATGTTTCTTGACAAGGAATATCTTTTTGAAATTATTTTTCCTGCTTGGATGTAAATTTTATTTGTTGAGTTTTTTTGTTTATCTTTGATGCTTTTGATTGGATTATTTTTAAGTCAGTTACTTTATTGTGTGCTTTAAATTATATCGATTTAAACAAATGTTTGATGTTTGATGCTTTAATGAATTGTAAAGTTAATTTATTACTGTTATACAACCATACGTAGACAATATTGTTGCTTTTTAAAAAAATTTTTTAACTTTAATTTCGATTACAACATGAAAAACAAGGTAATTGTTGCACTGCTCAAAAAATAATCACATGTATATTTAAAATTAAAGAACTTGAAAACAAAATAGCAAACAATTTATTCACAACAGAACTTACTGTACTGTGGTATAATATGCAATATTTTCAGAAATATACATATCATTGTTTGACATTCACGTATTAAGTTACAGCTGCAACATAATAGTTCCAGTAAATTGAAAAAAAAAAGAAATGTATGGTGTTACAGGGACTAGAGAGATCAACTGAACGTCCACGCACGCCAACGTGACTTTAAATATGGCAGTTTGGTTATTAAAATAACAATGAAAAAATGACGTGCAACGTGTAACTCTATTTTGCTCCAAAAAAACAGATCGAATTCTTATTCGTTTTCTACTCCTTTTTACATTTGAATTGTCAAAGTAATGCTGATGTTTATCAAAAAATGGACAGAAGAATTGAGACCAGAAAGTGAAGCTTATGTTCATTTAAATTTATTTTGGAAGTTAAATATTTCATGGATTTTGAAGTTCTCAAACCATTCTGCGAATTGCAAGAAAAACTTGTTTTTGGTTTGACATGAAAAAACTATTTCTTATGATAAAAAATGTTCCAGAGTCCAAGTGTAAACAATTTATTACAAATTTAAAAAATTTTCGATAAGTGAGTAATTTTGTATTGCAAGTCAAATATTGGACTTGGTGGCGTTTTAAAATTTTTTTAAAATGATATCAACGGCTGAGTACACAAATGTATTTTATATATCTCATTATAAGGAAAGTATTTTAAATTCACGTTTTGAAAAACAACGAAACAACACATTAAATTTCTGAACAATGAAATCGTTAACATTAGCTGTTAAGTAAATATTTTTAAACAAGTTTAAAGGAAAAATCCTGAAAAAATAATTTTTATCTCATCGAAAGTCTAATAATACGCGAGAGATAGCAAATGTTGGTCGAAAAACTAACGTTAATCAACTTGGTACCTATCAATCAATCATTGCTTTTCCGCAGATCTACTTACGAGGAAGTGATGATTGAAAAAATATAGTGAGAGAAGACTGTACAGAAACTTGCAAACAAAACGCAGTCGTGTGCTTGCAAGAAATACGTCACAATTGCCGCTTCAATTATGCTGATAAACGTTCGATTGTTAGCGGAAATTGTGTGCAGTGCATGATATTTGTGACAAAAATGTTTGCCATTTGAAGAAGTATTGGCCAGAAATAATTTAGTCTAAGGAGGCAGTAATTAAATTTACCTATGTTAGTTATGACTGAATAATTTATGATATTAAATACCTGTTGCATAGTTGAATACAAAACGAATTGTTTTCGTGTAAAAACAAATTTTGTTAATTCAACTTTAAAGATAATTTTGAATAAAATGTAATAATAACAAGAAAAAATTATAACAAAATGTGATTGATGAAAAAAAACAACGAATTAAAAAGATCACAAACAAAGATATAAATAAAAATCACGTGCAACTTTACAGTACAATCTTTCTCGACAATCAAAATCAGTTAATTTTCAAAGCTAAAATAATATAAATATTATGTGTATAGCAAATGGTCTTGAGCCCACAAATATTTTGACATATTTTTTTTTATAGGCCTCCGTTAATCGCACGATGGTAGGATAAGCTGCTCGCGATGCACATCGGACGAGCTCTAATGCTTTTGTAGATCGTACTTATTCTGTAAGTATACTCGGTCAATTATATTCCGGATAAGCGTTTCTATATACATATACAGCCACGTAAATGCATGTATGTACGTACGTCAGCTGAGCACTTGAGCCGTCTATATATAAGTACATGTGCACACCGGAAGATTGAATTTATTCCGCGATGATTATGCGAAAAAAGAAACTTGCTATTGGACTGGCATTTATGATTTTATTAATAGAACTTTTTTATAATTCAATGAGTCAAGTTTTCTTGGACAAATAAGTGTATTTTTTACAAATTATGGAATGTTCTTGGGGCATTTAAATGTATAAATTATCATGAGATATTCATCCCATATTTTCGTACGGTTTGAAAATATTTACTTGATACGTTTTATTTAAAAGTTCATGCTTGAGTGTAATTGTTTAATGAATTTTTAAACACTTAAAAAAAAAAAATTATTTTCTCTTTAACAAAGTGAAGTCTTTTTGCTGAAAAAATTTTATTCTCAAGGCAGTAACTTTCTTTAGCGGAAAATTACAATATATATTTGGGATTTTTTATTTTATTGCGTCAAGTATTTGAAATAAAAGTATCTTGACTCTGCCAAAAAAGCTTGTTCGTCTTTAAAATTGCAATGAATGGTTACCGCTGGAAAAAATTTTTTAATTGTCTAGTAAGAAGTAATAAAAAAAAGATTTTAAAAAGTATTCGTATACAAGTCTGTAAAAGTCCAGTGACGAGTTTTAAGCGAACGCTTTTACATCGTACAAATATCAGGAAGTACCTTAAAAGCAAGAAAAGGAAAGTTTACTGGTACATATATAATTCATATTATATAAATGTAAACTTTTTACGATTGAATTGGTATGAAGGAGAAAGTTTAAATTTTGTGGATTAAGAAGTATCTCGTATATAAAATGCAATCTATTACTCATTGATCACCAAGCGAATATTGAAAAGTAAAATAAATAAAAAATAGATTTATATACAAAATAAATAATTAGTAAAATACATTTTTTTAAATTCCAATTAGATCATTTATTTCATATAAAATCTTTTGGATCTATTTTCCTTTCATGTGTCAAGAAAAACGTACCGTTACAGGCACCGATCATATTAGTAACATGCACAGTATTTTTGCATCCCTTAACAGTCAAGTAAATCAAAATTCCCACAAATTGCAGATACCAAAGTAACTTTCTCACACTTGTTGATCATCAAACAAACACTTGGTATACTTCAGCAGATGACGTTCCAGCGGGTACACATACTAATATGACCACAAGTGTATTATATTTTAATTCATTGTTGGTGCACGGACGCGCACACCCGAACATTGCACCGTTTTTTGTTCAGTTATGCACAGTGAGCAAGCCCTCGTTACCTTCAATTGTGTGCGGTGAAAAAAAATTGTCAAATTCGTTTTTTAACAGCCTGCAATTTTTTTCTTCCACTGCGATTCTCGTTTCGACACAACAAGGCATATTTTTGCTTTTAGATTTTAATCTACTCACGGAGAAAAAAGAAAGAGTTATTATTAATTAAAGTACCTAACATAGATAAGTAAAAATTACTCTGCAAAGGGGTTAAATTACTGTACCCAACGTGGTGCTCACATTAACTTTTACAGGTAATTTCACGATAAAAATGACCATAATTTCTGTATCAGTGTGGGGTCACGTTTTTTATTCAAAGTTTAAAAGGAATGTAGGTAATCTTAAAAAGCAATTTTATACTCATTAAAAAGCTTCCTCGATAATGATAAAAAAATCAACTAATCTCCTCTTAATGAAATAGAGGTAGTACAATAAACGTATTGACATTATTTAAATGATTGTTCATTAACTCGACGTATTAACGGGATTTTAATAGAAGCACAACTAATAACTGAGATTAAAAAAGTCGGTCAATCAAATTGATCTCCAAATTGATAGATTAAGTATACAGAATGTCGTGCCTCGATGAAAACAAAAAATATTACGTAAAGGCTGACGATTTCACGCGTACGATGAGTAGTTATAGGTGATGTAAACAGTATTTGAATGGCAGCTGGAAAATAGTCTTGCATGCAATAAATTAATCAAATCACTCGTGTGTTTTCTGGGTTTTTTTTTTTTTTTTTTTTTTTTTTACCCTACTGATAAACAGTTGGGTTACTCAACACCAATGTTTAGCGACAATTATAGCGCGTGTGAATAAAAAAAAAAAAAAACGGCTTTACGATGCATTGTTTTTGTTCCTCATGCCGTCTTTATTTCGGAAGATTAACTTCTCTTTTGACGTTCCATCCAAACCCAAGACCGTAGTTACTATTTTTTCTCGATTTTTTACACAATTGCAGTGATCTCTTGCCAGTTTTTGATGAAGAAAAGCACACTACTCCGAAAATTGTGAAAAACGGAGCAATGTAAACAGAAAAAAAAACCGTACGCATAGTGCGCAAATACGAAAACAGCAGCAGCGCCTATAGGTCCAAGCGTGGGGTCTTAAAATGGTTCTCTATATACTTACTGGAGGTAGATTAAAAAGTGACAAATTAGTCTGCTGC